TAAAAAAAAAAAAAAAAGAAAGCCTTTTATTGATCATCCTATCATTCTTCTCTGCAACAAAATTATGAACACAAAGTGATAGCTTATCAGTGGATAAGTAAACTTGTAGTTTGGATGTGATAAGATTCAGAATAGATTCTGTTCTTATTTTTCATTTTAATGGTATGAGCACTAAGAAACTTATTCCTGTATTAAGTAGATGGGAAGTTTTACTGTAGCAATGAGTAAATAAGTAAAAATAAAAAATTTCCATTCTTCAAATTCTTTTCCATGTATAAGCCAAAAATCACATCATAGTCTTTCCTTTAAAGTTGCTTATAAAAATTGTTTATAGATAGTTACATTAGATTCTCTTTCAAATTTCTGGAACCAACTAACTTGCAAGACTGCTTGTCATCTGATCATTTAATTTCTTTACTTTCTCAGTATCAAATAAATGTGATTATTTCAAATTGTGCTCTTTAGTTCAGTGTGGATATTTTCCACTTAGAGATGTTGTCCCATTGTGAGATTGGGATGGATGAGGGTATGCCTTTGCAGTTTAGATTTCTGGAAGGTGACCATTAGGGAGACTGGGAAGGAGCATAGCCCTCTCTCAGGCAAATGAATGTAAAACCAAACTGATACAGATGTGGGGTTTTGACTCTGAAGTCATCCATGGGCATATCCCCCTTGGAAAGTCTTGGTTTATCCTGACAAGGCTCATACTCTGATTTGAAACCTGCTGGGGAATATGAGCCTGTGGTTGTCCAGGAAGGTAAAAAATGGTGTTGTAAAGTGAGGCATGACCAAAACACAGATCAGAGCAGCACTGGGCCATATTCCACTTCCCGGATCCACAGAGCAAGTGAAGAGAGTGGGAATGTGGGGCTCTGAGGGCTCATGCAAAGGTCTGTTGGGAAGAAGCATATAATCCAGGAAATCCAGTGCGATACCAGGACCAGACTTGTCCACATCATGAAAACCTAGAGAAGGAGATACCTTGAGAGAAAAGAGTGAATTATTGTGTTAATTGCTGCTGAGAGGTCAAGGAAGATGCCAGCTGAGATCAGGTAACCTCTTGCTTTTGATAGATTTGAGGTCCATCATGGAGAGGGAAGCCTCCATGAAAAAGGCTAGGGAGAGGAAAGATGAGAAAGCAGGGAAAATGACTATAGACAACATAATGGGAACTCTTCTGTGAAGAAGAGTGCAGATATGGGACAGTCTCTGAAGGAAGTACAAAGCAGATCTGAGAGAGTGAAGGCAAGAGTGCTGGCACGTATTTTAAGTGGCAATAGAATGAGCCGAGAGACAGGGAGAAACTGATTTAATACAAGAGAAGAGGGGGAATTAATTGCACAATTGGAGATAACTTTGAGAAAGGAAGAATAGCATGAGATTCAGGATGGCCAAGGGCACACTGGGCTTAGGGCCCTGGTGCAAAAAGGGCAGTTTAGGAGTAGACAGGGGCAGATGAGAGAGACTCCATCCCTAGGAGGCACAAGGTGAGGGTACCATCCAAGCAGGAGGGGGCAGGAAGGGGAACAGATGATTTGAGAAAAGAAAACACCCAGGAGGCCTATTGGACGTGCAGAGCAGTGATTACCATGAAAACTATGGGGTCTAAACCAGGGGTGGGCAGGGACCAGGGTGGTTCTGACCTGTGTGCTTTGTGTTTCAGGTGAGCGTGGCACTGGGCTGTGCCACCCGTGATCGGACCATTGCTTTTGCTAGCAGCTTTGCTGCCTTTTTGACCCGAGCATTTGATCAGATCCGGATGGGAGCCATCTCTCAAGCCAACATCAACCTCGTTGGCTCCCACTGTGGAATATCTGTTGGTAGGACTTGTGTGGGCCATCTTCTTGGTAGCCTTCCTCCTTTTTAAAATTTTTTTTTTTTATTGAATGCTAACTATATACATTAATGCACTTCTGGGGTACAGTGTGGTGTTTTCACAC